CCCTTGGCTTGAACGTGTCCCTCCCATTCTATGGCATAACACCCCTCCAGCACGACCAACCATGAGCGACCTCGGTCAGGGGGTGCACCATCACCCCATGAACCGCTGCTGGAATACGCTGTCCTGGCCCGACTCCACCTCGTAGTCCGCACCCCCAATAACGACCTCCACGGGTTTGCACCTCTTGCTTCCACAAGCCGCCCAGTGTGCCTCTCCTGCATTCTCACCACCACCTCCCTCGCCTTGTCCACGATCCCTTGCGGGATGCCATTGCTCCTTGGGGGCTGTCGGCAGTCGCTCCCGGAGCTGTCGCACAAGAGGGCCACTGCGGAGACGTTGATCACGGAGCCGGTTTCCTGATCAACGTGTCCGACGTGGCCCTCTTGTGCGACAGCTCCGGGAGCGACTGCCGACAGCCCCCAAGGAGCAATGGCATCCCGCAAGGGATCGTGGACAAGGCGAGGGAGGTGGTGGTGAGAATGCAGGAGAGGCACACTGGGCGGCTTGTGGAAGCAAGAGGTGCAAAACCGGCGAGGGTGTGAAGGTCCCCGGGCCAGATCTGGCCCCCTCCGCCTTCTTCTTGGGGTCTCGGTTGGTCGCTGCTAGCCAACGAGTTGAAACGGTCGATCGTGTCGTTACGAGCCCCGATGACTTGACCATCATGCCGTGCGTGTAACGTTGGTACTCGATACATTGTTCTGTGAGGGGCCAGCACACCCCGGAACATCAAACCGTTTCTTACCCAGTAAATGCGTCGAAGACGGGCATCGACAACACCCTCATGTCACTTGACAACACCCGCGACCAATCGGCGGCCAGCAGTTTACAATAGGGCGAAGGGGCGGGCGGGGCCTGGGAGGCTACGTAGGTGCTCGAAGGCAAATCACAAACAGAAAAGGCAGCCATCATCACTACCAAAGGCAGCAACAACAACAACAACAACAACAACAACAACCACAACAATAGCAGCGACGTCAAGTATAAAGTGACAACCAGCAGACAGACAACACGGAGAATCTCTCTGACCCTTGAGCGCGGCACCTCCCGCGGCGATCTTAGTGGCACGCGGGGTGCCAATTGGCACTACCCCGCCGTCCTTAATCCACGCGACGTTCGCTGCATTAGATCAGGCCATTGCGTGGTGATGGGGGGCGAGCGAGCGAGCGAGGGACGGAGGTGTCAGCCCGGCAAAACAAAATGATACCGACCGCCGGCATCGCTTGATTACATCCGCGTCCAACCACGGCCAACAGTTTACAATGGGGGGCGCGCGCGGGGGGGGGGCGTATGTGGCTGGATTGGCGAAATGCAGCAGAACTTGCGCCAATACAAGGCAGCCCTATCGAAAAAGCCATCCAAGATCGATTGTAAGCAACGAAAACAACCTCAACTTAAAAGAGCAAAAAACAAAAACAGTCGTGGCCACTGCATTGACTTGCCATTTTAGGGGAGGCGTCCGACGAGAATGACGTCAGCATCAGCGACAGCAGCAGCCGTAACATACCCGCGACCGAGCGGTCGTCGTGGTACTTCTTCTGGTCCCTCCTCTGCTTCTTGTCGCACGCCTTCCCTAAAACGACAAGCCAGTGAAGATGGGAGAGGGACAAAAGCAAACACGTTGACTGGGTGAATGGGATCGCCGGGCACGTGGGTGGAGGGATCGGCACTGACGCGGCAATGCAGCAGAATGCAACACCAGTGGATCGCAAAGGTGGCTTGAAGATAGATTAGTCTCACGTGTTGGAATCAATTTGCAACACACCGCGACCAATCGGCGGCCAACAGTTTATAATAGGGCACGCGCGGGGGGGAGGGGGGGCTGGGAGGCTGCGTGACTAGATCGGCGAGGGTTTTGATAAATTGCGTCGTAGGTGATCGTTCTAACAAGCAAGAGAGAAGCAATCACCACGTTGGCAGACACGGCATTAGCGCAATTCTACAAAAAAAAGGAAACAACGACAACGACGACGGCAACTGCGACAACAAGCAACCTCGGCAGCAACAACAACGACAACAACAAGGCCTTGGCCGTTGCGGGCATCGATCGGCATACCTTCGGCAGAGCACTCGTCTGCGGGTCCTCCCGACCTTGCCCCGAATCTCTCCCGCCCCACACGTTCCACCACCTCGCGGATTTCGGCCAGCCCCCTTGAAGAGCGCCCCCTCGAGCTCGTCGCACCGCCTGGTGTCGTTGCCGGTCTCCCCGTTTGCCTCCACGTGCTTGTTCATCGCTGCCCCGATGAAGTCCAGCATCCGGTCGCCGACGCCCGCCTCTGAGACCGCCAGCCCCGCTTGTGCACGCCCGGTGGAGCTCGAGGTCTCCCCGTACGCCGCCCTCGAGAGCCTGGGCGTCGCCGAACACCTTGCTCTGGTGACGGTCACAGTAAAAGGAAGGCGTTCCTGTCCCCCACCGTCGTAAGCACCGTTGTTGCGTCCCTCGCCCAACTCGAGCCCTGGGCGATGTCACCGCCTCCGAAAATCCCGACCCCAGGGCTCGCGGGGAAGTGGCAAGTCACATAGCACTGCACACAGGCGTGGAGCTACGGGCTTGTACACACCCAGACACCCAAAATACCGTTGACGGAGGCAACACCTACTAGCCACTGGTGAAATAGAGAGAACATGTCATTGGGGGGAAGGCCACCGTTAGCGAAGTCGAAACTCACGAAACATCTGGCAGCTGCAGGGGTAGACCCTTCCCGCGTGTCCGTCACCGCGGTCGCATGCCCGCTCTGCGCGGCGGACGGCACAGGGAGACAACATCTGTTTTGACCGGGGTGGCTTCCAACGGTAAGCCTGAGCCCGTCACCTACAAAACAAACCCTCCGACCAGAACGCACTGTCCGCCCTCCGCGGCGGACGGCAAGGAGACGACTACAGTCTTGACCGGGGTGGCTTCCAACGGCGAGCCCGTTACCTACAAAAATCTTCCTCCTTTGCCCTCCTACAGAGGTTTGGTTTTGGGTTTGTGCCCACCTGCGTCACTCATGTGTCGTCGGCGCAATCCATTGTGGAACGACGACCCTGGTCCGAGTTTGCGATACGAGGTACCGTAAACTCCAGAGGCAAATACATCTCGATTGACACCTAGATAGGAGTGGAATGGTATCGACCGGGCGGAGGCTTGCTACCCGGTACAATCGTAACACGGGCGGGGGGGGGTCGGTTGAACGAACGAACCCCTCTCCCCCTTCCATTTCCCGACCGGTTTCCTCTTGAGAACGCGCCAGTCAACTCGTTGGCCACCCGGCAGTCACCCCCGGACATCGGATCCCTGGTTCTGGCGGAGCGTGGCCGTCCGGTCAAACCCCATCCGCCGGGCGTTCTTCATCCCATCCGGCATGGCCCGTTTAATGGCCACCACGAGCGTTGCAGGCAGCCGTGATCCACAGGCACCCGCAACGCGGCCACCTGCAACGATCAAGGTAGCCGGTAGACGGGCGATGCCGGATAGAACGAAGAAGGCCAGGCGGATGGGGCTTGACCTGACGGGAACACTCCTCCAAAGCCAAGGATACCATGTCCGGGGGCGAGTGCGGGGTGTTCACTGACTTAGCGGGCGCGCTCTCAAGAGGAAACGGGTCGGGAAATGGGAAGGAGGAGAGGGGTTCGTTCGTTCAACCAACCCCCCCCCCGCCCGTGTAACGATTGTACCGGGTAGCAAGCCCCCGCCCGGTCGACAACATATTGTACTCCCATGTAGGTGTCAATCGACTGAACCATGAAAATACGTGTGCTACGCTGGGGGCTCATTTCTTCGATTTGCGTCTCTCTCCCCGTTATTGTTTCGTCGGGTAAGCCTTACACGCCGCGTGAGCCGCGCGCAAGCCGCCCTCAGCACGGGCGCAGCATCAACGAAAAATCTAGACTCCTTCGAGTGAATCTGCGCTCTCTTGCAAGGTTATGGATTCGCATGTCTCACACACACGAGCAGCAAGCACGCACTGCGCACACGTCGTTTCACAATTCTCCCTCCCTTTTTATGGGTGTTTTTCGCGTACTTTCTTGATGAACCACCACGTACGCGAGGACGGCCAAACGTCGTCGATGGCTCTTAGTGGCGGGCGACTGTCTCATGGTCACCGACGACCTTTCTCGTACCTGGTGGTGAGCTGAGCTGAGTACAGCGGAATTGCTTGAGCACTGCCGTGACGGCGCGAGCTCGGCAGCAGGACCAGAGACACAAGCGTCCGGGTGTTCGTTCCCCGAAAACGCCGACACCACCAAACCGCACGGACTGCCCTCGGAACGACACCTCCAAAACCGGACTTGGCGGACAACTCAGGCTTTGTTGATGCCGAGGTCGCGCTGCAGGCAGCAGGTGCACTTCGCCTGCGCATTTGAGCGTCAACTTCGCCACTGGCGGTGCGGATCCCTACCTCTTCGTCGTGTGGTTGTGATGGTCGCAAATGATCGTGACTCGCGCAAGTGGGGTGGGATAGTGCATGCGTGCGCTGCTGCTTTGACAGACAGGGGCTAAGCAACGGGGGCTCTACCTGCAACCTGAAGGCCCTCGTTCAGGTCTCTGCGGTCCCCGGCACAACCGTGGGCGAGACGTTTACCAAGTTGGTGTATCTGTCTGTTATGCCTTGTTTTATTTGTTCAGAAATCCAGACAAACGAAAAATTTGTAGCTCGCACCTTCACTGCCTGTGCCCCAGGCGGACAACGCGCCCCTGCTTCTCGAACCATCTCATTCGCCGAATAGCACATCCTTTCATCTCTCTGCCGTGACCACCTGACCGCCTCCAAATCCTCCCGACGTGCTGCCTGCGGGGCGAGTCGAACGGTGTGATAAATCGGGCGAAGCTAGTTGGGTACAAGAGCAAAAAGAGGTGGGGAACGAGGCTTCAAAGGCTACAACAGCTCATGTCGCCGACGGTCCACCCTAGTTTTTTTGCAACTACAAAGATAGGTCCTGAACGG